ACATATAGTAAATAAGATACGTATTCTCTTACAAATATTATTAATATTTAGCATTATGTATAGTCATGTTATCATGTTATTATAATTTATGCTGTATCATGTTATTATAAGTTATGTATTGTAAAAACTTACAAAGAAAACAAAAAAAAGTCGTTATGAAACAGCGAGCAAATAAATTAGTATAGATAGCGCGTGTACCTTTATATTTTATTTCTCAAAAATTATAGTTTCCACAACATAACTTTATCATACATGATTCATTTTGGCGCAACATAAGCTTTAATATAATATAAAAATTTTTTCAAAATATTGAAAAATAATAAGTAGTGGGAATATTTTAAAAAATTGTACCATTTTTTGAAAATCCATATATACCATTGTAATTTAAATTGTAAAGTACATTGGAAGCCATAAAAAGCTTTTCTTTAAACAATTTTTTATAATTTTTTTATTTCAATGATACTCAGGATGCCGGAGGTATGTTTTTACCGACCGAATGCGAATATTAATTATTTTGGGATATCTTTTTATTGATTACACAGATCAATAAATCTTTTCCACGATTAAAATACTTATAAAACGGACCGCGCTAGCTATAATTCCATATATAAATCATATAAAAATGAAAAATTATAGTTTTATTATCGGTTTTTTTTGTGTCAGTTTGTAACAATACTTATTTAATAAGAAAAGTTCTACAGTTTGTCTGTGCATAAGATATAGCTCGCGCAATAGGGATACATGAAAGAATATTAATGAACAATTAGAAATGAGATTACAAATCTAATAAAAAAGTTATATATTAATTTACACTATGTAATTTGTACAATAATGATAAAAGTTATATATCAATTTTCACGCATATGTGTGTGTATGGTATATGCGTGAACATGTATATGTGTATACATGCATACTCGTATGCACGATTATGTGTTGTGCTAATCTATCGGAGTTCAGTCGTCAGTCTGGCATCCCCTTAAGGGGTTGTTGCCACTTCTAAAACCGGTTTTTTAACACCAACAAAAATCGTTTCGTCATTATAAGGCCTACTACTTTATAATTATGCAAAAAATTTCAGATTTTTTTTTTAATTTTTGAGTTGTTAAATGTCCTTTATCAGTTTTGTTGCCCTTGATATGTTGTCAAGATCATAATTCTGAGTAACATTTAAAAAGTTTCAACCGACACTTGCGGTTTATTAAAAAATTATTAATAAATAAAATTTGATCGCTTAAATATTATTCAGTGAATAAAATAATAAAAATTGATAAATAAAATTCTTTAAAAATTCTTTAAAAAAATTACCTTTAAAAAAAGATAAAAAAAAGGTGTTAAGTTTACGTAAAAAACTGTTTGCAAAATAGTGTTATTAACCCTTAAAAATTTTTTAAATTTTTTATTCCAGAAAATGTTACATTAATATAACTACAATGTAACTTGTAAACATAACATGTTATATACATAAGTAGGAAATTGTAGCTTACATGTACGTTACATGTAACAAATTTGTAATATTACTTGTAACATTCCTTTTTATTGCTTTTATATAACATTTATATAACAGTGTTTACTGGGATGTGAGTGTTTTGTTAAGTATAATCTTGTGTAGTAACATCTATATGTACATAATTATTGTAAATAATATTTAATCTTTCATGTAGTTTAATTACGTTCTCAAATCTCCGTTCATATTGTATATTTTAATTTTTAGTAACTTTTTGTAATAATATAACGATATAATGATGGGGCAATAAAAATTAATCTAATCTAACTCAACCTAATTTAACCTAACCTATAATTAATGATCCTTAATCTAACTAATTTAACAAGTTAAAATTAGAATTACAATTAATTTAGATTAAAATTGTTTGGAGGTGCAGATAGAAGAATAGAATTTGTTTTTCGTTCATGTATATATGCATTACCTTTTGTAGAGCAAATTGCATTAAAATTATGAAAAGCTAATATTTATTTATAATCATATTTTAAAAACTATATACAAGCGTGGATTAAAAAAATATTAATGTAAATTATTATCCTCACTTTTATAACATACATGAAGATTAGAATTATTGTTGAGATATCATTTATTGTAAATAATTATTTAAAAAATAGCTTCAAATTAATAAAATAATTTTTATTATAAAGGAGCTTTTAAATATAACAAATGAGATCACAGAAAAGGTATATTGTATAAACCGAATGACAATGCGTATTTACTTTTGTTGCCGTAATCAATACTTCTTATTCAGAAATATATTGTACAGTGTTAACAAGCATTATAGTTTATTTTTAAAAATATTATTTAATTACAAGTTCTTTTTAGACATCATTTTTTTTACTTTTTATCGGCATTAATTTATGCTTGTCATTGATATTGATATATCATGTACACTTCGTACGTGTAATATGTTTGTTATGACGTCAAAGTGTCAACAAATGCAGCACTTCTTTAAATATGAGGACCTCTTATGCATTTAATACTGCATCATTCAATGCTTAAGTTCAAATAAAGAATGTTTACTTTTTAATCTGACATGATACAATGTCCTTCACATGACACATTTATTAATTATGAATGCAATTGCAACACAGGAAAAGATAACAAAAAGATAATGAAATTATATGTATATATCAACGAAACGCATATCATGTAAGGTGACTTTATCTAATTTGCAAAGTAAACAGAGCATTTTAATGATTGCATATTATCGAATTGTCAAATTATTTAATTAGTACATTAATTATTAAATTTTTATTGAAACTATATGAGTAAAATTTTAAAAACTTTGATTTATTTCACGTTATTTATTGCAAGAGAATTATTCGATATCTGCTTACACGCAGATATTGCTTATATGATATTACTTACGAAATATAATTTACATATATATCTGTTATGTGCATATATGTATATACATATATATATATATATATATATATATATATGTAAACTATACGTGTAAAACTTAAATAAAAATCATCATGTATATAAGATAAGTTCCTATGAAAGTAGATGAATGTTTATAGTTAATTAAGGATGTATAGGAGATACAATCGGAAACAAAAGAATCAGCTCTATTCATCTTATATCTTTCGTGCGCGCTAAACAAACTTTTACTCCGCGAGTGTACATAATTTTAATTCGCTGAATTTTAATTATGTACATAACTCTAATTCTCGAATTCCTATTATACATATACATAATTTTAATTTGCAGAATTTCTATTATAAACATAAATTTTAATTCGCCATATTTCTTTTAAATAATTTTAATTTTTTATTTTTTATTATGTTCATAATTTTAATTCTTGAATTTTTATTATGCACATAATTTTAATTCGCAGAATTTCTGTTATGTAAATAATATTTATTGCGTTTCTATTATGTACATAATTTTAATTATAAATTATGGAAATAATCGGCCAAACTAGCAGATAAAATCGTTTATTCAATTTCACGACGTTTCGACCATATGGTTGTGGTCCTTTTCAAGTGAGACTACAATAATTATTAAACATATTATTATTATAAATCGAAAACACTGAATACAATTCGCAATTTGAAACGCACGTAATACTTACAAGTAAAATAATAACTAACCAACTCCTCTTATCTATCCATGCAGTGTCAAATTATAGTAATATCATATAAGTCACAAATAAAAATTAATTAAAATCAAATTTAAAGTAAAAATAAGAGACTGCCACAACATATCCCAACCAAGGAACGTCAGATTCTGATGTTTATATTTTACGTCAAATTATTTAAACGACCTTAATTATTTTATTGTATATATCGTTAAAGACTCTCTGTATCCCTTTGCGCGTTTATGTTGTTATTTAGTTTTTTAATGTAAAACATTTCGGTTATCTCTCTCTTTCTCACATGTTTTTCTGTATGTCAAATGCTAAATCTATTCCATTCGAAATTATGTTCAAATTCAGATCGATGTTTACTTATACTAAATGTGCACTATGATGTAATTTGATATTATTACAATGTTCCTTAACACGTGTACTAAGATGTCTCTTTGTTCTATGTATGATGCAGAACAATCTCTGCAATTAATTTTATAGACAACATTGGTCGCACATTCGCTAGATAGTAAATCGTTACCATTATTTCCATAATTTATAATGAATACTAGTGACTGTAATTAATAATTTGGATTTTATAATTTTAATTCTTAAATTTCCATTATGTACATAATCTAAATTAACTGAATTTCTATACATATATCATAATTTTAATTCACCGAATTTCTATTTCCCTTTCTAACTGAGAAACTGTAGTCGAAACTACTCAATTACAAAATTAATTAACACTTATTTATCAGATTTTAACTATTATATACAAATCCTTTAATATATATTACTATCATTACACTAATCTCTCGATACATACAACTGTCAAAATATGCAATGACAACCGCTCACGAAGTAAACGCTGTGATGGAACCAATCGGCATCGCGGATTAAAGGCAACAATTCTTCGATAAATTCGAGAATAAATAACATGCCTTTTTTAGAAAGAGATTATTGTTATTTTCTTGTAAATGGTTTAGTGAATGTTAATGTAATTTTACATTATTCTTTAAAGTTTGTTATACATGTAAAAAATTTAAAATACATAGTACTATTTTTTCGATATTTTTAACATAATATAATCAATCAGAGTAACGAATTTGCATAAGATATATGTAAATCTAGCAGAAATTTAAGTTGCAATAACTTTTAAATGAGTTAATGAATTAAAAGCCAAATATGTATTAACAGTAGCTTTAGTATTAAAGTAGAAGCAATTTATATAATTCTTATAAATTTTGTAGAATTTTTAGATGTTTTCCATACATCCTTAAAACATTGATTTTGATACGCGCTTGTTATTATAAAGATGATGAAAAATGTTATAATTGTCGAGTAAAGTGCAGTTCCAAAAAGGGATGACGCATAAGATCCTGAACATCATGCAACGTCGAGCGAGTAAAGTTCTATTACCTTCCACTGTCGTCAACTCCGGCAGACCCAAGGCTGGCTGATCATGGATAATCCATGTGACCAGAATGACACCGAGCAATCGCACAATGGTATTATCGTACCAGATAGTGATACTTCTCGACGATGAGCACATCGACGATGGGTTGGCTGTCGCGACGACGTGCATTTCTACGACTGCTCGTTCCCGGCCCCACGCGGCACACCTTACAGCTTTACACGTCGTACTCGCTCGCACGCACGCACGCACGCACCCACCCACCCCTGTACGCCCGTATCTGTACACCCACGCAGGTCAATCCTGCCTGGCCTACTTCCGGTATCACATCTCCAGCCGATCGTGGAGACGCGCGCGATCGATCACGCGCATAGGCGCTCTCTGTCACGGAACCTGACCTTATCCGTAGCTATCTCACGTCTTGCTCGCGTGGATCCTCCCCCGCGCCTCTACGCGGATTTAACACCCTTCACTCGTTGTCGTTTAAAAAAATATGCCCGATATCATCGGATTCCTTTTCCCGATCATAAAGCGCGATTCGTAAATCGAACAATTCAGACGGCAACCAGATAGAATCGTAATTCCCACAACTTATGCTCGTGTACACTCACTCCGTGCGATTGTGCCACGTAGCGCAGCGAAAAGGCGCGGGCACCAAGCGACGACTCACCCCGCGAAAGGGTCGTCTCGACGCCACGGCGCCGACGTTCTGCGCAATACGACGGAGCCACATTTTCACTTCCTTGACCGCCGCGTAACGGTGATGTTGCTCTGCGGCGCATCCACCTCCTCCTTTGTTTTTTCCGCCGCACTGCGCCGTGCGGACGGCAACGGAGCGCAGTGCCTGGCAGTGCCTTTGAAAATTCTCTCTCGAGGGAGACTGTCGATCATACATATCGCCCCATTGAAGATATATGCTATTGCATATATATGCTATCACGATCAGCAAAGCGTAAGATATCGTGGTAATGACGCACGTAGGATACGATTGTACACCATCCTTTCTTTTGAATAGGGTCTTTCCGGCATTAATCTAAGCTTTTAAGAGCTGCACGATCATGCAGCACATTGACGATGTCGTCAGAATTAACGTGGTATCATTTCGGGCGATGTGCTAACTTTCTATGTATTTCTTTAGTCTGCACAAATAAAAATAAGGAATATACCAAATTAGGAAAAAGACTATACCCAATTTTATAGGAGAAAATTGGACCTCCAGTGAACATCAATGAAACGAGACTAGAATTGTAGGGCATCAACAGAAGATTAAAAATGTTCCATGAGTAGAATCTTGGAATGAGTCCCTTGAGTGCTAGAGCTATCTAAAGTTTGCTGTTATGACCATGTGCTACTATCTTGTCCGATGTCTTATCCGAGTTCCGAGGTCAATAATTATACAATTACACATAAGTTTGCAACTTTCTGCACGTATATGTAGTTGCATTCGGACACAGTCTCATTCAAACATAGATTTAATCAAATAGATCCGATTGAACAAAGCTCCACATGAGTTTATGATTTTTTGCGCGAAGCGATTTACTTTTAGTGTGATAAGATCAATAATTATATACAATTACACATAGGTTTGTAAGTTTCTGCACAAAGGAAATTTATTTTACTTCTTTGATACAAATTGTGTCAAATTCAAAATTCACTTATCTTTAGCATAATTTCTGAAAACATGTTTTCAAGTTAATATTTGCAATAAAAAAATTTATAAAATTACAAAATTAGGAATGGAAAAAGATTAAGAAAAAATATTTTAAAATATGTGATATAATAAAAGGCCAACTTAACGAGCTTATATGCTATTAATTGAAAAATTTTATTTATTAATTTACGTCATACTATACAAAAGTTGGGATAAACGTTTCGACTGTACGACAGTCTTTCTCAATATCCTAATAATATGTTAAAAATTAATTTAGTCATTTCGACATCATAAATAAATACAACAATTATAAGATTATATGACGAACGCAGTACAAATTCATGTTAGTTGGCATGAGTTAAAGCGTCAGATGCTGATTATATTATGTAACGACACTGTGAACAAATTAATATATCCGCTCAAATATTACATTTAGATTTTTAATAAATAGTATTAACTTACTTTTTTGTCAACGAACATAACACTTTTTTTAAAAAATTATTTCTTTTTACTTAACATAATCACAATGTGTACTTTTTTAAAAAACAAATCGATATCTGTATCTTACAATGTCGGCGCGCTGTATATATACCCAATTTTTAAGATGACGTAGACAATTTTTTTAGAATATCATAATAAGAACCGTCAAGACGCTCGGTGTCCTTTTTTAGGTTGATACTGTTGTTTTCTTCTTTAAAATTTTTAAGTTTTTGAAAAAAGTACACAGATATAGAGTACATAAAAAACTGCGGTAATTATATAGAGAGGAATCACTTCTCAATTTCGATAATTTTCAAGTTATCGAGATCTTGAGTGTGTAATATTATATAAAGGTTTTATAGTCGGCGCTTCTTGTTTATTAAAAAGTTAATAACAAAAAAGTTTATTAAATAAATCGCATAGAAAGTTGTAAACCTATGGCCTTTACACCGATATACTTTGATACGCATATTAAGTACAACTGCGACCAATCATAGTCATTCTATTCTTTAGAAGAATGGCTGTGATTCATCAGTACGGCGTTTGAAACGTGTATCAAATAATTGGTGTAAACTAGACCTATGTGGAATTGTAGAAACGTAGACCTCGTTTTGCACTGGAAACAGGGGATGATGGAGGTGGACCTTTGCTTTGTGTGAAAAAAAATTCAATCGCAAACCTAATTATAAAAGTAATAGATAGATCTCGATCCACGCGACATACGTAGTTTATTTTCTCAAAAACGATTACAGTTTAAAAAAAATGAATATTTTTTTGTAGATAATTTAATAATATTTTATTTCGATAATAACTGTTTTCAATAAAAGTTATAATAATATTTTATGAGATATTTTATGTGCAAAAAATCGAAAAAGTGCACTTATTTTGCAAGATGATGATAACAGCTTATCTTTAATTTTTCAGGACTTTTTGTCTGTTTATTAGTAAGCTTAAATAATCTCTATTAATTTTCAAAACTTTTGGAATTATTTTTGTTATTTACTTAAAATGAACCTTTATTATTGACTGGGCTATTGGCTATTGTATAATTCTGTTAATCATACGTGCGTGCATGTTTTTTCGCGGACACTGAATAATTGTGCACGAGAGACGAATTTTGCTTAATATAATGTTAAATCTTTATTTCGGAATTATGTATATCTCAATTCAAGATTATCCTCTGAATATCTTTCGAATATGTTGTGCTATTAGGGAGGAATTAAAATTGAAATTTATTTCTAAGTAAGGTTTTAGCAATTACTAAACAAATTTCATGTTTCTCGTACATAATTATAAGAATAGCGAAATATTAATTTTTACTATCCGACGCACAAGTATCCGCAATTTTAAATATATATCCCAGACAGCACAGAATATTTATAAAATATTTATAGAATATTTTTAATAATTATTTTAATATTTTATAAATATTTATCATAAATATTTTATAAATATAAATTTTAAAGTGTAAGATAGGCAATAAGAGCCATTCGCGGAAGACAGTGCGTTATCCTAACGATACTAAATTTTCTCGTTAGAATTAAATATCTTGTGCACAGGGCACCAAATTTTATTTGGTCACGGCCAAGATTTAAAATATGAAATAATCTCATTTTTGAGATTTAATTTCAATAATCCTATAACCCCCCTACGGAAAATAAATAAATGCAAGAGAAAAATATAGATCCGAAAGTCGCTGAATCGGGAATCGAACCCGAGACCTTTCGCTTGCCGGGCGACTGCTCTTCCATCTGAGCACGAGATATTTAATTCTAACGAGAAAATTTAGTATCGTTAGGATAACGATTAGGATAACGATTACGCACTGTCTTCCGCGAATGGCTCTTATTGCCTATCTTACACTTTAAAATTTATATTTATATTACAGAGCCGTGTTAAACTCTTATTATTTTATAAATGTTTTTGAAGTCTTAGATTCAATAGATCATAAATATTTATCATAAATATCGAAAAATATTTACGATAAATATTATAGTAAATATAAATATATTTATTAAATCATTATGATATAGATTTTTTTAAATTTCTATTTTCTTTAATAAATACTCAATAAGAAATCATATGAGTTAAAAAGACATAATCAACGATCTTTTAATCAAAACAATTGGTTGATATAGCCTAATCTAAAATTTGGTCGATTAGATGTTTTTGTGTTTTTCAAACTTTATTAGCCATTTATAAAAAGTTAAAAATGTATAAAAAATGTTTATAAGTAAGACATTTATTTTAAATTGGAATATAAAATTATAATATACTGAAATTATAATTACAATATACTGAATATACTTAGGCAATAGAGTAGTTTAACAAATAAATTTACGTACACATTGATATATACGTAAATTTATTTGTTAAAAGACATTCTGTTGCAGAATGTAGCTCAAAAATAGAAATAATTTTATGACATTTTTAATTTTATTAATTTCCGTTTTTACCAGCCTTAATTCTCACGATGAAAATCAAATACAAGAAAGATACGTCACATAGCGGTAAATAAAAGAACTAACAATTTAGTTAAAAAATATTTACAAAATAATTAATATAAATATTTATCTTTACATACCGTAATATTACATTCATAAATATTATATGAAATATTTAATCTATGTTTTAATAATACATGTTAAATAAAGATTTTTATACAAAATCTTTAAAATATTTATATAATATTTGAAAAAAATATATAATTATAAATATATATGAATCTTTATCATAAATATTGTGTGCTGTCTGAGATTTAATATTATATTTTTATCTCATTGATCAACTAATTCACTCCGTGCAATTCAGAAAGTGGACTTTCTATTAATCAGTATTCAGGATTGATAAATAAAATGTTAAGATTTTTCATCTCCAAAAATATTGTTTTTAGAGAAATTAGATAACACAAAAGCGCGCGCTTCGCGCGCGATAAACAAATTTTTGCTCCGCGAGTGTACATAATTTTAATTCGCCGAATTTCAATTATGTACGTAACTCTAATTCCCGAATTTCTATTATACATATACATAATTTAATTTGCTGAATTTCTATTATAAACATAATTTTAATTTTTTATTTTCCATTATGTTCATAATTTTAATTCTTGAATTTCTATTATGCACATAATTCGCCGAATTTCTATTATGTAAATAACTGAAATTGTATCTAATAGAAATTCAGCTAGTTAAATTTATGTACACAATAAAAATTTGTTGAACTGAAATTATAACGCATAATAGAAATTTAAGAATATTTATATATTATACATAGCAAAAATTCAACAAATTAAAATTTAAAACATAATAGAAGGTCAAGAATTAAAATTAGGTACACAATATACATGAAAATTCAAGAATAAAATTATGTACATATAGAAATTCAGCAAATTAAAATTATTTACATAAAGAAAATACGACAAATTAAAATTATATACATAATATAAATTGGGCAAATTAAAATTATTTAGATAAATAAAATACGGTGAATTAAAATTATGAACTTAATAAAAATTAGAAATTTAATGAATTAAAATTATGTACATAATAGAAATTTAGGAATTTAAATTATGTACGTAATAAAAATTCGGAAATTAAAATTATGTATATAATAGAAATTCGACAAATTAAAATTATGAACATAATAAAATTTCATGAATAAAAATTGTGTACATAATAGAAATAAA